GTTTTTTTTGGGGGCCGCTGCATTCTCCCCGGCAATACTGCCACGTCTCTTTTGGAATCCCCACCTCCTCTGACGACCTGTACTTTGCTAATGGCGGTCTACCTGTTAAATACACCTTTTTAAAGTAGGATTTAGTCTTTTTCATGGATGTCAGCATCACTGCACCCGTTCCGCCCTGATTTGACGTGTGGGTTCAAATCTGTGCTCGGCGGCATCGTGCCGTCACTGGATTTCTCCCTGCCCATGCGAGGCCCGACCTCCGCATTCGCATCCCCGGACCATTCTACCCGCGAGTGGCACTGAGCCTACGCACCTCTCCGTGTAATCCCCCAATACCTATGGGTGTCAGCTATCAGGTCCAAAGGTCATGTGGGAGGGGCGTTCGCCGTGGCCATCTGTGCATGTACCCCGGAAATAGCTGTCCGCGCCACCTGGCGGACCAAATCCTACACTCGCTTGATCGGGTCTGGCTCATCAAGCGCCTTTGAGAGTAGCCGCCGACACCACAAAGGGTTCAGTGCCACCTTCCCCCATTAGTTGGGCAGGGATGGTCACGCCGCTCGTCAGGTGAATCCGCCCCCGACCCAGACCAAGCCACGGGCGAGAGGCGTCGAGGGTTACATCGACGGCCTCCAGCTCCCAAACTGGTGACAGCCGCCCCATGCGAACAAGTCACCGCGACTCGGGATAGCAACCCAGGGTTATTAGGCCGCACGTCGCCGGACTGGTTATAGTTCAACTAACTCACGCCAAAAATTCCGCAAACATATCGGCGTAAGCCTAGCGCAACACTACAGATAGAGCCAACGGAACCGTGCTCGCCCATTAAAAAGCGAGGACAAGCATGTAAGCTTTATTGATATAGCCATCACTGTGCAGACCAGCTCTCACTGCCGGTTTAAGTACGACTCAGGAAGGCCAGCGTTTCGTGCGACCTAGACAATGGAAAACTAGAAAATAACACACTGGTAACAATTATCAAAGAAAGGGTGCAGTCAGACTACAGATCATCAGCTCGATCAGATGACGAAAAAAAGTCATCATTACCTGTGACCGCTCGGAGATAAGCCTCCAAAAACTG